AAATTAAATCAACAGTGAGATACCTTCTTACCTCAGCACCAGTAGCAAAACTCAACAAGACAGAAAATAACAAATGCTGGCAAGGATGTGGAGAGATTGGGATTCTCATACATTGGTGGTGGGACTTTAAAATAACCACTGTGAAAATCTGTATGGTGATTCCTTAAAAAGTTGGAAAAAGAAATACCATTTGATGCAGCAATCCCACTATGAGTTATATATCCTTAATAAGTGAAAGCCGGGATGTGAATACATATATGTACACCCATGTTCATTGCAGCGCTATTCACAATAGCAAAGAGATGGAAACAACATAAGTGCCCATCAACGGAGGAATGGATAACCAAACTGTAGTACATACACACAAGCGAATACTATGCAACACTAAAGAACAATGTAGAGTCTGCGAAACACCGCATAATGTGGATGAACTTGTAGGACATTCTGCTGAGTGAAATGCATCAGTCACAGAAGGACAAATATTGTATTAGTCCATTATTGTAAAAAATCAAGGAAATGTTTATATATGAAAGGAAACTTTCTTTGTTTGTTACCAGGGATGGGATGGGAGGGGAGGAAAAGTAGCTAGATAGGTAAGAGACAAGTATTGATTTGGGCAAAGGGAAAGGCAATATACCAAAAGCGAGAGACCAACCAAATAACACCAAGGAGAAGGAAGGCACAGAGAGGAGCACAAGAAGTACAGACAATAGAGACAGACACTTTACACACACAGTCCTGCATTATCAGTAATAACAGACTTTAATATGTGGGTAGATACATAGGTAGACATGCTGAACGATCAGGGATGTCTAGGCAAAAGGGAATATACCTAGGACTATATATGTAAGACTGGCAGATGATATTGCTACATACATGTTGTATGTGCTGTAAGAATGCCCATATAAATACAACTAACAGAGGACAAAGTTATAATAACTTTTTAGCCACTGCCAACCACCCTGAGGGAATGAGGATTTGGACCTGTGGGCTTGGGACCATGGTCACAGGGGACATCAAACTCAGTTGGTATATCATACTACACAAAAACATTGATCTACACCCGACTTTGGGAAGACATACTGGGGTCTTAAAAGCTTGCAAGCTGCCATCTAAGATGGAACAATTGGTTTCTCCTTGTCCAGAGCAAAGAAGAAGAAAACCAAAGACATGTGGAAATAATTAGTTCAAAGGATTAGTGGGCCATGTGGACCTCAGCTGACATGACCATGAGACAAGAAGAACTAGATGGTGCCCGACTACCACTGTCAACCCCTCAGAAAGGAATCACT